TGCGAATTGTTGTAAAATGAGGAAAATATAGCCTTGTGAAGTTCGCAAATTTTGTATATATTTGCAATACGCGCGGGAAAAATAACCATTTTTGAGCCGAAGTTATCCCTACCGCGCGTAATACAAATACATACAAAATTTGCGAACTTCACAGGGCTATATTTTCTTCATTTTACAACATTTAGCAACCAATCTTTGCAGTTTTACTCATTCTAAGACGCTCTTTCTAGCTGTGGTGTTGGATTTCGTCCTTCTTGCCTTGATCAAAATTTAGTCTATATAGCTGGAATCAGCCATACCGTCAGCTATTATAAACAATGAACATAACTCATTACAAGAATGATTAGGCTACCGAATAAGATTAATAGACCTTTAAGGCGGAGAGGTCACGAGTTTGAGCTGCCTTTAGTAAGAACTGAACGTTATAAACGTTCTTTTATTAACAGATGTCTATATAAATTTGTATGATAAGATTTTATTAGTTACTTATTCTTAGACTATTTAATAATATGTAAATAGTGGTAGAATTTTTTATATCGATACATTAATCCTTAAAAATCCTGTAAACTCAAACGTGTGATTTGAGTATAGATTATCTTAATAATGACTACCATCTATCTATCTATCTAAGTCGGCTAGTCACTGAAGTAACATACACAATGTACTTCTCTCAAAACTTACCAGATGTAAAATAACTTTGAGTGCCTCCCTGCTGTTAGCCGTCGACTCAATCAAAACTATCAATGCCTCACGCAACTGTACTGTCTTTTTGGAAACTTTTACATCCCGTCCAACTAACACAAATCCAGCCCAGTTTGATGGATGATCAAATTCCTTGTTGCTCTCCACCAGTTTCACTGCGTGTGCGAGGGCACGACTCGCGCGCATCCCACGCAGGAATCGTTTATAAAACCCTTGCAGCAACAGCCTGTACGCAGGCTCGGGCACAGGCCATAAGGACACCAAGACACAACTACATCCCGCCAATAGGAACGAGCGTACTAAACACAGTAGTCCGTCTAAAGACATTTTATTCCGGGTTTCGTTTTGAGCGCAACTTAGAACGATCATTTTCGCCGGGAATTTCATGTAGGATATTTCTGAAGCGGTCAAGAGGAAATCGGTTGGAGATGGCATAAAACTGTCGCTACTGCCCGAGTCCCTATTGAAACAACAAGAACATTATTAGTAATACATCCATGGGGTTCGCCTACCAACTGCTGTAGGTATTTAACATCTGTGCTTCCCTTGACATCTGCACAATGAAAATACAAGGGTGTCAACCCTTTGGTGAAGGTGAAATTCAAGGATTTTTCCAGGACTTTCAGGGTCCTTTTTCAATAAATTCAAGAACCTAGAACTGGGAAAATCTTTGAAAATGGCACGGATTTGCCGTAAATAATAATTCACTTTATTCAGTAATTTTAATCAAAATCACTAATGTTGGCACAACTGGAGGTTAATTAAAGGAAATTAATTCCAGGACTTTCAAGGACTTCTGCTGATTTTCAAGGACTTTCCAGTCCTGACATTTTTTTCCAATTCAAGGACTTTCCAGGATTTTCAAGGCCCGTGGACACCCTGAAAATACCAACGATAATTACCTATTGCGTCCTTTGCTTGGAGCGAGGACTAATGCTGAATGTTTCCATGACGTGTTTGTGGCGAAATGTATACACTCTGCCTCCTCAGCTTTCCTACAGACTACATCCTTGCTCGCATCATTTCCAATCAGAGGTTTGGCGTCGAATAATGTCCCGACTAGCTCAGCCTCGCTTTGGGTACTGGGGTTACACCGGTACTGATCAAATGAGAGGGGTAACTGTGGATCCCCGACTACAAGTCGTGTTGTTTGTGGTCTTTGAGGGGTCTTTGGGGCTAATAGCAGTGCTCGTATTGAGGGAATGGTTAGAAGTGAGAATCGTTTGTGGAGGTAATCTTTCGACTGGCCGTGTAGTAAGGAGAATGGTACGAGGTAGAGGTCGCCTTGAAGGACTAGGACGAGGTCGTGTAAACTGCCGTCCGACTGTGGGGACCTGGGGAGGAACTCTTCAACAGGAGCTATCAGAGTGTCGTAGAGGACTTGAACTGGAAGTGCGCTTGTTGCATCTTTGTGTCTGTCTTGACGAAGGCCGTTTAACTTTCGTAAGCCTGTGGAGAATAGATATATCCATGTTACTACAGAAGTAAATCTACACTATCTGGACTGGATCAGTCATAAAGTGTTCTCGCTAGAGGTCCAGTAAGGGCCATCTGCGATTGAGCTAGTGTTGCTACAGGAGGAAACTACAGTAGCGGAGTAAAGCTGTAGTGTCTTGGTAGATTCAAACCCGAAGCCCTCTTCTTACATGTGATTGAGATGAAAATACAATCAGACAACTGCATATTTTAGAAATGGAATCCAAGTTACAGAGATGAAAGTAGCCTGCAAACCAGGCGCTTATATGCGGGCGATGCAGGCTAAAGTGAAAGGTACGTTACCACTGTGTGACCGACATCGCATAAAACTAAAGTCTGGTTTACACAATCAAAGTTTCTGTCATCACTGTAGGAATTATGCGCAGGTAAATTCTGAGTTTTGAAGGATTTGTAAGAAATGTTCGAGGAAACATACTCAGTGTTATACACTGTACACCAAAATTCCTACTGTGATCACAGAAAGTTTGATAGTGTAAACCATCCTTAACGAAGAACAAAAGGTGGAGTTACACGAGCAACAAAATTGCTGCAACTTGCAACAAAATCTGATTTCAACGCATATTAAGTAGAAATGTCGACACATGTTGCCTTGTGATTTGTAATTTATGCGTAAACATTTTCAATTAACATGCGTTGAAATCAGATTTTGTTGCAAGTTGCAGCAATTTTGTTGCTCGTGTAACTCCGGCTTAACTCAAAATCACCTTTTTTCAAGAAGCCATTTTTCAGATAAGAGAAAGTAGACGGTGTTGACGGAAGACTGCCAGCTTCGCTAGAACCTCGCGATCTGGAGTGGGAACTATCGAACGGACTCGGGGGCTCATCTACGTCACTTCCGGATAAACTAGATGACATCGTCGAGACGGAGCTCCCGCACGCCGGCTCTACGCCGATGTTCTCACGAATCTGTCCGATCAATCTCTCGAGTAACGACTCGGAAGTGGTCGACATACCGCTGTCCATATGTACCATGAGCTCAGGCATTTCGTCCGTCAGTCTAAGTTCGTGAAATTTAACTATGCCATGCTGAGGGACGATCAACCAACTACATAAATAGCCGAGCACAAGAGAATAACAGATGAAGTAGCCATTTTGTTTGTTTATCACTTCCATGATCTGGTCGTAGCTCTGGAGTCGGACCCATTCTTTTTCCTGTGGCCGTTCCACACCCGGGCGGCGCAGGAGAAAGTCGATAAAGTCATGGGCACGAGCTCGTTCTGCTATGACCAGAGCCTCCTCGCGACGTCCCAAGTCAATAAGCACCCGTTGGAGGACCTTTTGGAAAAAAGATAAAGACTTGTAATACACCCTTTTCATAAATGGCTGCCGATTAAAAATTCTTTTATGTGCATATAAATTGGCCCAACTAGCCTCGTACTCATGTTAAGATTTCAAAGGAATTTCTACCCAGAAACTAGGCTAGTTGGGCCAATTTATATGCACATAAAAGAATTTTTAATCGGCAGCCATTATGAAAAGGGTGTATAACTTGGTAATAAAGCATCGCTGGACGGTTTAATCATCTGGACCATTCTTTCAAAGCATGATTAGCACTAACCCTGGATAAAATTTAATCTGCTGTTTTGGTTTGTGTATGTTCTGCACGAAAATAAATATTTCATTGATCCAGATAAGATTTCTGGAAAAATATTTCCATATTTATAATTAGTATAATTACATAGGTGATTATTGAAAATTCTCCACGCTGATTGGTTGCCGTTGAGGTGATTATAACGCGATAATCAAATAAGCGATTTTCGAAATGGTGACCGTCAATGAAATGACGACGAAATATGTATTTTTTTCCAAATAATCACCTATGAAATTATACTAAAACAATTATTTACCTCAGGCTCGGTGATTCTCGTGAATAAAAACCTCGACTTCGTCTCGGTTTTTATTCACCGATAATCACCTCGCTTTCGGCGAATAATTGTTAAATAAGCTGTTTGGAAATTTGTTGGGGAATTTCAGGTTAATCTAGGATTAAGCTAACCGGCTTTTGAATAATACGTCTTTAGCATAAACACAAGATAAACTATCCAGACAAACTAGCTAGAATAACGTGATCTATAATGGCAATGGTACGGAGAACATATCGCGTCTGATATTTTCATGATAGTTCTTACTGTCGTTCCAATTGAAGTGTTGCTCAAATATTGATTCAATACATTACCTCGGGCTGACCAATTCATTTGATCAAGTTCCTCGAGATATTCATACACTTCCTGTGAAAGAGCCAATTCCAAGTATTTGATCATTTCTGGTCACTTCCTTTCTATTTATGATTGGTTAGTTGCACAAACAACAAAGGTGATTGGTGCATTCAAACTATTCAACAGGAAGTTTACAATTATACTAGGAAGTGTATGAATCTCTCGAGGAACTTGATCAAATGAATTGGTCAGCCCGAGGTAATGTATTGAATCAATATTTGAGCAACACTTCAATTGGAACGACAGTAAAATGCTGGAGCCATACATACACACAGATTCCGACTGATCAACAGCCAGGATGTTATCAAACGAACTTTTCTTATCTTTTCTTTGTCCGAGTTCGTCCAGATCGTCTATCCCGGGGAGTAAATCATTCAGGCCACTTTGCCACTAACTTGTAATTGAGCTAATATTTATACAAGCTAATATTTAGCTAATATTCATAAAACACACGCTACCTGATAACATAATGCCTGTTGTTCATGCATGGCCAGTTGAAAACGCCCAGCACTGATGCCAGCGTCACGAAGTTTCTCGTACAGTTCGATTGCTTGGTAAAGTTGCTCCAGAGAAGACAGGACATCTTTCTTCGCACATAGTGCCACACCTAACCAATACCTTCAAGAAAGATTTAATAATGATATATTAGTAAGTAGTTTGTTTATACTGGATAGCTCTATCAGTTCAAAATTATTTTTCCAGTAAGGGTCATGTCTTATTGATCCAGTGTTGCTACAGGGGGAAACCTAAACTAAACTAACTTTATTTATACTGGATAGCTCCATCAGTTCTAAACTGTTCTTCCTAGAGGTCCAGTAAGGATCATCTCTTATTGATCCAGTGTTACTAAAGAAGGAAACTTAAACTAAACTAACTTTATTTATACTGGATAGCTCTATAAGTTCTAAACTGTTCTCCCTAGAGGTCCAGTAAGAATCATCTCTTATTGATCCAGAGCTACTACAGGAGGACACCTAAACTAAACCAACTTTACTTATACTGGATAGCTCTAACAGTTCTAAACTGTTCTCTCTAGAGGTCCAGTACGAGTCATCCCTTGTTGGTCCAGTGTAGACTACGACATAGTTTGTGTGTGTAATGTGATAAGTGCTAAAGGCTAAACACAGACCTCATTTCCGCCCAAGAGCGTCTGTGACGCAGGCTAGTCCAGTGTTACTACAGGAGAAATTCGGAGTACATGACAAGAAACCTGTGGCGTTTGGTAGGATCGAAATGAACGTACTCTTCTCGCACGCGACTGAGGCAAAATTACAATCAGACAACTGTATTAAACCTTGGTCACAAAGGCGAAAGACAAATGCACTGTAGCTAACTGCTGTTCCATCCACAAACTCCATTTAGAATGAAGGTTTACTCACCTTATCGTGGCTTCATCCTCCCTGCGTCCCAAAGTCTCAGCGATTGTCAAACCTTGCTTGAAATACGATATGGACTGTGCATAGTTAGCCATCAGATAATGATTCCGTCCCAGGCTACTGTAGGCATTCACCTTCGCTACGCGGTCGCTCACCTGGGCTGCAATTGATAAATGTTGTTCCTGACATTCAGACGCTTTCTTATAGTCCTGCATGAGTTCGTAGACGAGGCCAAGGTTGCCAAATGCACGTGATTGTCTCATGCTACTGTGGAGTTTATCGGCGAGTTTTAGATCATTCTCGTGGTGGGCGAGTGCCGACTCATAGTCGCCCATCTTCACGTGCACCTAATGAATAAAACAATTATATATTTTTCAGTATATTTAGTACCGGACATTCCCTTAGCATCATTTTAATAATATATTATTTTTGTCTTTTTTATAATGACCAATAATAACAAGGCTTAAATTTTTTATTTAATTTAATTTTTTTTACCTGATGATGGAATAAACTCCGAAACATCGTATTAAATTGAATTAAAAATTTAAGCCTTGTTATTGGTCATTATAAAAAAAAAAAAACAAACAAAAAGAATTATATATTTTGTCGCAAATTTGGTGAAATGAGTAGCGTCTGTCTGTTATGTTATAAACCAATGTAAGCGTACTTATACTAACTCTATTTATCTCTATTAGTTCTGAACTGTTCTCCATAGAGGACCAGCATTACCATCTAGTTTAATTTAATAACTTTTACATAGCAAAAGGTGGCAGAACAGGGCAATAGACCCCCCAACTGATTACAGCTATTATTACTGTCCTACTATTACCGTCCTGTTACTACAGGGGGAAACCTAAACTAAACTAACTTTATTTATACTGGATAGCTCTCTCAGTTCTAAACTGTTCTCCGCAGAGACCCAGTAAGGATCATCTCTTATTGATCCAGTGTTACTATAGGAAGACACCTAAACTAAACTAACTTTCGTTATACTGGATAGCTCTATCAGTTCTAAACCGCTCTCTCTAGAGGTCTAGTAAGAGCTACTCATTACTAGTCTAGTGTTACTACAGTCAAACTGGAAGCATTCTTCTCTCATGTGACTGAGGTGATAATCAGACAATTATATATTTGAAGAATCAAACCTTGCAAGTCACAGAGCTAAAAGATACATGCACTACCAATTGTGGAATGTATAGAATTGAAGTCCTCGAATCGTCTTACCTCGCCCAGACCACATTCAGCATCACTCTCGCTCTCCAGATCTTGACATTCTCTCGCTAACTTCAACTGCTGACCATAACACGCAGCCGCTTGTTCAAAATTCCCCATCGTCCTATGCAGGTTACCCAGTTCTCCGTAGGCAGAACCCTTAGCCGAGGTCTCTGTCAATTCGTGCGCAAAAACAAGTCGATTCTCAAAGCAAAACAAAGCTTGTTGAAGGTTCCCCACAGCCCTGTAATGAAAATAATAGTGAAGTATTATCAAAATCACTAGACTGGTAAATTGGTCTCTCGAGATTGGCACGTGCGGGATTGATTTTATTTACCACGTGAGGAACTTTTTGGCCACCTCGTGACCACTTTTGAATTGTAACAGAATTCGTAAGCAATCTGCCGATGTAAAACTTTTAGACCTTTTACGATTGAGAAATTACTTTAAAAGCTATACTTTTTACTATAATTCAAGGTTCTATTATGATTCAAGGCATTGAAGGTATATTTTACAACATTCTTGAACTGACACAAAATACGCGATTGTTCACTCGATTTCATTGCTTGTTTGGCTATTTATAGACTACAATAATAAATATACTTAGTAATGTCAGCAGACAAGCACACCAAGGCAGTAAGTTTTTTGTTATATTATTTTTTTTGCTTCGATTTGCAATTCTAAAACATGCTCGAGCATTTGCTGTTCTCTTTAGAACTATAATTACCGTTCACACGAATTGAAACGTTATTTAAGCAATCTTTCCCTATAAAATATCGGCGGATTGTTTACGAATTTCGTTGAGGTTTAGAAGCGGTCACGGGGTGGTCAAAAACTTCATCACGTGATACATAAAATCAACCCGCACATGCAAATCTCGAGAGACCAATTTAGCAGTCTAGTGATTTCGTTAACAGTATAGTATATAGTAAACTTAATATCGATTACACAGGGGCTAAGCTATGGAATAGTCTCTCTATCGATACGAAACTGGCAGAATCAATGCACCTGTTCAAAAGCCATTTAAAACTTAACTCTAATACTATATATATTTGAAATAAATTGTAACTCCGTCTAACCATAACATCTGGGGTCACACCAATTTGTAAATAGTCTTCTTTTCCCTTATATCTTTTGTAATTTTTAACATTGTAGACGCCCCCCGTGGAAACCAACGCACCGTTGATGGGGCTAGTGTCTCTAAATAAAGTTTTAATACAATACAATACAATACAATACAATACAATCCACCCTAGTTCTGGGACAAGGATGCCGATTACAGCAAGGTATGCTATTCTGCAATATCCAGTCAAAACCAACTCCAAAACTCGTGATTCGTCGATTTATACATTAATTACAGCAGTGAGGACTACAGCATTCTACCTAATGACTCTCTAAGGCCCAATTCAGACGGCGTACTTTTCATGTGCCGAGCGGCAAAAGTTCGACACAAGTTCGGCAGAGCCTGTCGCGTTATGCGACGTTGATTCGTACGCCGCTCCGCTCATGTGCCAAACCTAACTCAACTTTTTAAAATGTATTGTAGTATTTAAAATGTATTGTACAGGTTTTGCTGGCGAATGCGCCCCAACCTTGTCATTTGGTACGCCGTTTGAATCACAATCTTGTGTCGCTCCAGCGTCGCATCTAATACAATTAAGTTCGGGACATGAAGAGTACGCCATCTGAAATGGCCCTCTAAGAATTGCTTGATGCTGCATCATCCTATAAAACAGCTTACGATCGAGAAGTGATGCAGAAGCAATCAATTATATGCTTACAGTTACTAGGGTGCGACTCTCTGAAACATTCTTTTACATTTGTGCGCCCTTGATTCCTATGGAAAATGGGGGCATCGGAGGAAACCCTGGCACAGGGGAACCAACCAAACAGTAGTGGACCGGCAAGGTTTCTAACTATAAATGACAGTTTGAGAGTACCTGTATGCATTCCCAAGTCCTTGGTACGCCTTGTCTTGATCGTTCGGCGACCCCGCTTCTTTGGCTGACGTCAGATAGCACTCGTACAGTCCTCGGGCCTGTTCGTGATTCCCTAACATATACAAACACTCGGCTGAATTCCCCTGCGCGCGGCCAAGCTCGAGCGAAGTTGCCGCAACACGTTCTAAAATTTCAATCTGGTTTCTAAAGTAAGTCATAGCCTCCCCGTACGCACCGGCGTTCAATTTAGCCACGCCTAAATTCCCGTACGCGCGGGCCTGTAGGTGAGGGTCTTTTAACCGATCGGCGATAAGACGCTGCTCGGAGAAGTACTCTATTGCCTCATCAGTCCTTCCCGATGCCGTGCAATCACTCCCAATATGATCAAGAGCTTTAAATAATCCTTGTGTGTCATCAACTTCCCGCCGAAATGCTAACTCCTTAGAATGACAAACTAAAGCTTTGTCCAGCTTCCCTAATACCTTGTACGCATGCCCGAGAGCGGCATACGCCTGGCACAGAGAGCCCCTATCTTTTAATTTATCTGCCATCTTTACTTGTCGCTCATAACATCCAATAGCCTCGCGTGTACGTTTGGTCTTTACATAAATATCCCCAATGTTCCCCAATGCTCTACATTCACCAACGGTGTACCCAATCTCATGGGAAACAGTTTGGAAATTTGTCTGACACATGAGAGAATTCTGAATATCGTCCAAATCTTTATACACTAGCCCTAAATTACAATAAGCTCGAGCTAGAGTGTTTTTATCCCCAACACCTTGCGCTAGTTCGATATTCTGTTTGTACAATGTAACAGACTCGTCCAAATTGCCTAACGAAAATTGGGCAAATGCCAAATTATGGCACGCCTTATTCTCGCCTTTTTTGTCGCCGGTTGACTGCGTTAGCGACAAATATTTCTCGTAAAAAGCAATGGCTTTTTTAAAGCTTCCACTTGAACTGTAAAAATTTCCCAGATTAAAAAGAGCTACTCCTTCGTTGTAAGTATCCCCGTTTGAGCGGGAAATCGCGAGGTGTTGCTCGTAATGCCTTCGGGCTTCGTCGGATTTTCCGAGCCCCTGATACGCCACCGCGAGGTTGCCATGAGTACATGCTTCAGAAATGACGTCATTGACTTCCTTTGAGATAGCGAGCTCTTTCTCATGGTATTTAATGGCTTGTTCATACTTTTTCAACGCACAATAAGCACATCCCATGTTTCCATAAGCCTGGCCTTGTCCAGCGCGGTCCCCGAATTCCTGACAGATAGCCAAATGAATTTTATGCAACTTTAAAGCATGCAAACATTCTCCTTGCTCCAAGTAAATAATTCCCAAGTTGGAGAAAGCCCGTCCCTCCATGATCCGATCCTTCATTTTAACTGCGACAGCTTGTTGACGTTCGTAGTATTTCAGAGCCTTGCTTAGGTTACCTATGGCCCGATACGCGCTCCCAAGACCCGCACACGCCCGAGCCTGTAGGGAGGGGTCCCCAAGAGTCTCCGCGATCTTCAAAACCTGTCCGTGCAGCCTTGCGGCCTCTTGGTAGCTTCCTTTCCGATTATAAGCACTTCCCAAATTGCTATAAGCCGAAGCAATTTCTTTGTCATTTTTCAAAGTTTTCGCTAGGGTCAGCTGTTGCGTGTGGCAATCTATAGACTTGTCTACATTCCCTGCGAGCAGGTGTACTGCACCGAGATGCCCTAATTCGAGGGCCTCGCCTAGCTGGTCCTTTAGTTGCCTTTGAAAGTCGATAGCTTTGTTATGACTGTCTATAGCATTCTGGTAGTCCCCGAGCGAGACATAGACATGTGCTATAGAGCTCAAAGCAGAAGCAGCAGCCTTCTTGTTTTTATGTTTCGACGCAGTCATCAGTTGAGTTCGATGCGCGGTTAGGGCCTCTTCGTGCTGTTTCATTCCAAAATACGCGTTGCCTAGGTTACCAAGGACTCGGCATTCGCCATCATGGTCGGCCAAGGACCGACAAATTTCTAAATCTTCTTGCATCAATTCTATGGAGCGAGAGAGGTTACCCACTTTCCAGTAAGCGCTCGTCAGGGCTGATATCACCGAGCCCCGCATGCGCAGACCAACAGTGCCGATCTTGAGAGCATTTTCCAAACACGTGACTGCAGGTTGGATGTGGCCCGCGTTAAGGAGTTCTTGCCCGATTATTGAGACGACTACGAAAGGGTTTTGATCCATGTTGACTTGTTGGAGTCGAGAGAATATTTTCTCAACGTTTTCTGAAATTAAATAAATATATATTCATGAATATGATGAATGTTGAACAAAGCAACTTTATTTATACTGGATGGTTCTGTAAGTTCCAAACTGTTCTTCCTGGAGGTTCAGTGAAGATCACCCCTTATATGGTAGAGTGTTACTACACGAGGTAATCTGCACTAACTTTATTTATACTGGATAACTTTACCAGTTTTAAACTGTTCTCCCTAGAAGTCTGGTAAGGCAATCTGTTTTATTGGCCCAGTGTTACCTTACAGGTTAGAAGAAAACCTGCGATGTTTGGTAGAGTCAAACTGGAAGCATTCTTCTCACATGTGACCGAGATGAAATTATAATCAGACAACTGTATATTGCAGAAATCAAACCTCAGTCATAGAGGTGAAATGCAGTGATGCACTAAGCCATCAATATTAACCTTTTAAAGGCGACTTCAATGCTGTATCGATGATCCCAGACAATAACTGCTGACTCTTCTGATCGTGGGCCAACGCGGACGCAAAGGCCGCAAGGGATTCGTGGTACTTCCCCATACACTGCAAGGCGACCGCTTGACGATAGTGTGCCTGCAAGATGAAATATATGCATTAGCTATGTCCCCCTATCCCGCCAACCGCGTACGATGGTCCGATTTACACTGGAGACAGATGATCCGTTTGGACGAACTTGGACAACTAAAGAATAATTCATCTGATCCAGTGATCTCCATATATGCTTGGTGTTAGAACTCAAGTCCAAAAACTGAAATCCAAAAGATGGCGGAAATTGAAGAGCTAATACATTGTGATCATAATCAGTTTGTTGGAACAATCCAAAAAACTGATTATTAACGCCATTGAGCTTGTAGCAAGTTTGCGACAAGTCTATAACAACTTGTCAACAAGCTACAACCTGCCATCTTGTTGGAACAATCTTGTAACAAGTTGATTCATCAACCTAGCAGCAAGTTGTCAACAAGTCGGAAACAAGTAGTGTGAACACAATCTGACAACAAGTTGTTGAAACAACTTCGTGACAAGTCTGCTTCCGAGCATCTAACAACCTGCTACCTGCTTTTATACAATTGAATAGATCACGTACAGCGCGGGCCATGCTAAAACTAAACCCATTCCCTTCTTAACAAAACATACAGCACAAAAACCATACATTGAAACCTTACCCTGCTATTAACTCCAAATATATAGCCGCTAGAAGGGCTGCCTTCAGATTTTCTAGCAAAAGCATGGCGTTTCATTGTTGCCGAGTAACGGTTGACGCGAGAAGCCTGCCGTTATTATTATATAGCTAGCAGACACAATATAAATTTCCTTAAAATGTCGGTAGAATTCTGTTTTGAAATATTACACTGTTGTTCTTTGCCTCTCGTATCAGTGAACAGTAAACTGGCTACACTCAATGTACACATACGCTCAAATAAAGCAACAATACACTCGTCACACGACAGCCGGTATTTAACTTGTCCTTGGCGTATAAAATGACTTTTGTGTTTTACACTCTCAAATTTTCCTTCAGGCAGAACCGACGCTATCCACTTGTAGTAATTGCTTGTTTTCCTGTGTTACATCACACCGAATCTTTGAACATGTTTAAAGCCAGAATAACAAAGAAGCTCGCTCGTAACCGCCGACTTAGACACTTCGAGTAATACAAACTTGCAAAAAACATTATTTAATTTTCAGCTGTCCAACCAGACGCTTCTTAAGTTAACTTGAGATTATTACCCCTTCGTCCCACGTTATATCAAAACCAGATAAGGCATTTTTAACAACAAAAAGTTAAACCACAAACTTATTTTGTCGTTTTCGTCGAGACTCGAGCAATTTTGTTGACGTTTCTACTGCGTGTGCTTTTTTATGCAAATAACAACCCGAGAATGCAATGTAGGAACGGATTAGATTTTGTCTACGTAATGTAAACAAAGTGATCCCACTGTTTGTGTACTGACAAAATGTCTTCTATTATTCAATAAAAGATAAATTAATCGGACTTGACTGTATTCAGTATAAGACCTTGTAGTTTTTATGGCGGCAAATGCGTGCTTTAGTATGTATGTAGGCAAATAAAGTCTAGGCCGTAGCGAAATAAAAAGTAGAATGAATTTTCATTGTTTTGGTTTGCACTTAGAAACATCTAAAAATACGTGATCGAAGAGGTCGAGGTCAGAATAATATATGTGGGGTGATAGACATTGCAGAGAAGGCGAGGGAAGCAAGGCTGAGATGGTATGAACACGTAATAAGAAGAGATGAAGGAGAGCTGGTCAGAGACATTATGAAATGAAGAGATCAGAATAATATCCGGGGTGGTAGACATTGCAGAGAAGATAATCAAGGTTGAAATGGTATGGACACGTAATCAGAACAGATGAACGAGGGTCTGTCAGAGACATTATGGGATGAAGAGATCAGAAGATGTGGGGCAGTAGACATTGCAGAGAAGGTGAGGGAAGCAAGGTTACACTAAGAAGGGATGAAGGAGAGCCTTTCAGAGACATTACAGAATGATGAGATAACTGAAAATGGCGGACACTCGGACACCGTGTGTAAAAATACAATTGCAACACACAACCGGACGAAGTATTGAAACACAAAACATTGCAACACAAAACATGGCGTCACAAAACATTACGACATCACCCAACAAACATTTCAACAGGAAATGTCTAAGAGTCCAACCACTCAAGTGGACACTTGTTATATTCCACTCTCGAGTTGCTCTTTGTGACAGGATTCAACAAAATACCAAGTACAATATTTGAAGTGTTTCCAAGTATTTTTATGCATGAATAGCTCTTGGCAACTGCACTAGCTCAGTGATCTTGTGTTCAGTGGAAAATACATGCAACTGGAAACGTAGTATCATTTACTTTTTTAAAATGTGAATACATTCTGTGAAAATAAGTTGGTCGTCTTGTGTAGCTTATCAGGACTTACTCATATAACCTTACATTAGCATGCATCACCGTACTATATACAATTGTTACATACATATATATATATATATATATATATATATATATATATATACCGGGTGTCCCAAAAAAAAGTACTCCGGTTTGATTTATAATAACTTCTAAACAAGTAAAGCTATCAAACAGAAATAACTTGCATTAAATAGAGGAAGGA